TTCCCTCAGCCACCCCTGAAATCACAACACGATTGCCCTCAGGGGTCAGCCTCACCTATGGAGTGTGCCATATCTGCAATGATTTGTTGTTCCCTGCCCCCCAAAATGGCGAGAACCACTGGTTTAGATGGAGATCCTATGGGAGGTGGGTTCAGCATGTAGGATGCACAACCAGTTCCAAAGACTTTGATTCGGGGACATGTCCAAAGGCATAACACAAATGGCAGCTTAGTGGTCTTTTTTTTTTTTTTTTTTTAATGTTTTTATTTATTTTTGAGACAGAGAGAGACAGAGCATGAACGGGGGAGGGTCAGAGAGAGAGGGAGACACAGAATCAGAAGCAGGCTCCAGGCTCTGAGCTGCCAGCACAGAGCCCGACGCAGGGCTCGAATTCAAACACTGCAAGATCATGACCTGAGCCGAAGTCAGACGCTCAACCGACTGAGCCACCCAGGCGCCCCTTAGTGGTCTTTTAAAACACACGACTAGTTTTATAACATTTTAAAAAACAATTACTATGAATATTAAATTATGCTTTCCTTGATTTTCCTGCTAGGATAATATTCAGACACCTTGACATTTGGCTGTTGACATTTAATGTATGTCACGAGCTACTTTTTCAGCTTTATTCTCCCTTGCGCTTTTCTCAGCCTCAACTCTATGTATTTTCCCAACTTCCTCATTCCACTCAAGACTTCTAAATAGGCCCCCAAAGGGAACTACATTGTCTGAGTTACTAATATAGACCCTGTTTATAGCCACCATGGTTATATATGCAGGTAGACAATAGCTGGGCAGCAGGTCCAGAGAACATGTGTAAAATGATGTCGGTGAGGAAGATTCTGGGGGAAAATGGAACTGGTAGATTCTTTGATGCACTAGACCACATGAAAGATCATGGTGAGAAGATGTGAGCAAAAGATAGTCCCACAACTAAGCAAATGGAAAAAACAATGAATTATTAACTTCAGGAAAGACAAAAAGCTTTACATGAAACAAAATGTAATCATTTCACACAACTTGGTTCAACAAGAAAAATGTTTTCATGAACATCATGCAAATTCTTAATACAAACTTATCCAGGAAAAATGTGAAAACATTATACTGAGAGATTGTAGTAAAGGTCAGTGTATGGTAAGGGAGCTTGGAGTAAGTGCTAAGTCCTTATCAGACATACTAGGAAATCAGTAAATGATGTCTAACGTTGAGAAATCAAGAAATAGTAGCATAAGCATATTTTGAAGAAATATAAATATAATACCAGAAGAAACAGCTAAACATAAAAAATGGTGACTTTTGGTGAACAATCCAATCTACTAAGTAGAAGAGGTGAAGAGGAATTTTGTTTTTTCATTATAAGTCTTTAAATCCTATTTGACTCTTTGTTAACTATCTGCATGCAGTACTTTGATAAAAATAAATTTTAATTTTAAAAAATATATATCTGAAAATTTGGCGTAGGTGGGTGGTTCATTCGGTTAAGCAACAGACTTCTTGATTTCAGCTCAGGACATGATCTCACGGTTCATGAGTTCAAGCCCCACATCAGACTCTGTGCTGAGCATGGAGCCTGCTTGGGATTCTCTTTCTCTGCCTGTCTCTACCTGTCACCTGCTCACACATGCACTCCCTGTCTCTTGCTGTCTCTCCCTCAAAATAAATAAATAAACATTTAATATATATATACGTGAAAATTTGAAAGGCTGTGAAGAGACAGTTCACAGAAAAGAACTACAGACAATCCTTAAACATACAAAAAGACGTCTGAGCTTATTCAAAATGAGAGAAATGCAAATTAAAACAAAACTGAGATACTGTTTCTCATCTGTCATACTGGGAAAAATCCCGAAGTTGGAAGCCGTCCTCTTTTGGCAAGCCTGTCGGGAGTTCAAAATGACTGAACCCCTATAAAGGCGGATCTGGCATATATATCCACTTAAACTGCAGATGCATTTCTCCTTAACTCAGCAAACCCTCTTCTAGAAATGCACTCCCAGGTATTCCTGCACACATATAAAAATGACATATGTATAAGGTTATTCATTGCAACATTGTTGTATGGCAAAAGATTAGAAACGAGGGGCGCCTGGATGGCTCAGTCGATTAAGCGTCCGACTTCAGCTCAGGTCACGATCTCGCTGTCTGTGAGTTCGAGCCCCGCGTTGGGCTCTGGGCTGAGGGCTCAGAGCCTGGAGCCTGCTTCCGATTCTGTGTCTCCCTCTCTCTCTGCCCCTCCCCCATTCATGCTCTGTCTCTCTCTGTCTCAAAAATAAAATAAACGTTAAAAAAAATAATAAAAAAAAAAAAAGATTAGAAATGATCCAAATGTCTGTCAACAGGGGACTGGTTAAATAAACTGTGGTTCAGTCACTCCGTGGAAAATATTTATGTTCTCAATGAATAAAGAAAAAGTGTACAAAATTTAATAGCCAGCTTCCAGGCCCTCCAAAGCAAAGAGGGCTGTGTCAGAAGCCTCTCAGACAGAGTAGGCTCTCTGCCCTTCCTAAGTGTGAGCATAAGAGGAACTTGGCTCCCTAGCCCTTTCAAAACCTTAGAAACTAAGCAAAACGGGTGGTGAGGCAATGTCAGACTTCATGTCAGTCCTAAGTCCAAATCCCACTCGGTCACTTTATTCACCGAGACACTCCGGGCTTTCATTCCTCATCTGTAAGTGGGCATAAAATTCCCTACCCTGCAGGGCTGCCGTGGGATGGTGTATGGGACACAGGTGGCACAGAGGTTTGCTCACTAAGTGCTCAACAACAGAAGTTATTATTAATAGCAGTTAATAGCAATACCGGAAAAAAGAATTCTGTCTCCAAGACTGTGTTCATTATAGGAGGAAAGTCATCCTGGAAATACCAAGATAAGAATCAAAAGTTGCTGCTCTGAAGAAAAGAAGGAATTTCCCTACGTGACCAGGCAGTTTTGGAAGAGAGTCTTCAACCATAGGCACACATGCACACTGTGTGGGTGCCTCCAGCATCTCATGGCCACCACCACCTTTGAGGGCTGGTACACACTTTCCCTAAGTATCCTACATCAGCAGGGTGGGAAGGACCTGGGCCTAAACACCTTCCATTTAGAATGAGAAACCCAAGGACCAGAGGAATCAATGATGTGCTTGAGAGCACACAGCCAGCGGTCCTGTTCCATAGGCAGGCTGAGCCACTAACTAAATTGCTAATCAGGCATACATTTGTATGACTGCCATTTTCCAGTGATTCAAAAGAGAATCAATAAATCTAAAAATGGATACTAAGTACATTGAGCTAAGTTGACTTTCATTCACTTCTGAAAGTGGTTGTTGATCAATGTGAAAGATACAACCAATACCGGTGGGGTGAGAAATGTTTATCTTTGTCATCCCAACTTTATGGCTGTACCTACATGTTACCTGTTATATACTTCCTCTGGAATGGAGCCCCAAATTTAGTGGCAATTTTTATTGCAGTAAAAACAAGGATTTCTAGAACGTGCCTAATCCCTACTTCAGCAATGATTACATTTGTAATGTTGGATTTCCATTTCCTCATCTGTAAAAGGGGACATCAGCCACCTCACCGCAGTGCTGCAAAAATAAAATCAGATACTATGGCTGTCTGGCACATGGCTGGCGCTACTTCCCACAAACCCAGGTGTCCCCTTGCCTTGTTTACATAGGGGACCTAATCAATCCCACAACAATCCATTGACACTGCTCTTTGAATTCCAAGTAAAAATTTCCCTCTAAGCATCTCAGAAAAAGTAAAAAGATAAAATACTTTTCATGATGTTTACATAGATAAATAGTTTTTACTTTCCTCAGAACCAAGAGTTAAGAAGAATCTCATTAAAAGGAATTGTAGAGGCGCCTGGGTGGCTCAGTCGGTTGAGCAACCAACTTTGGCTCAGGTCATGATCTCTCAGTTCGTGGGTTCGAGCCCCATGTCAGGTTCTGTGTTGACAGCTTGGAGCCTGGAGCCTTTGGATTCTGTGTCCCTCTCTCTTTCTGTCTCTCCCCCACTTGTACTCTGTCTCTCTCTCTCTCAACAATAAATGAATATTAATAAATAAATAAATTAGCTTAAAAAAAAAAGGAAATTCTAAATGTATTTCTTTTTCAAGTTCCCCAGATACCTTCTTCATCCCCATTTCTCTTTGGGACTGTTTCCCACCATGTCTACATTGGTCTGGAGATCTCTGGATCCAGCCCTACTCACTGTGTTCCTGATTTTCCCACATTCCTATCCCAGGCATTTGCTCATGGTAAACAATAAATGGTTCTAAGCTGAACCAAACAGAATGAGGTGAAGATTTTCAACAAAGACATACTGAGCATCCACTATACCCTAGGCACTGTGTAAGACCCTTTCCCTCTCATATTTAATTATCACAACAATCCAGAGAGGTAATCATCATTATCCCCAATGTACAGATAACAAAACAGAAACTCAGAGCATGAAGTGACTTGCCTCAAGTCTCACTGTCAGGAAGGGAAGAAAGGGATGGAACCCAGGTCTCAGAGTGTGTTATATTTGGGAGCCTCTCCCTGCTAAAGCACCTTTGTTACTACGTTCTTTTCCAATCCACCCGCTGCACAACCAGATGCCCCTAATTTTCAGCAAGTCATTTGGTAACTCCAAAAGAGGGGCCACAACATTGGTGAACAAAGACAACATCATGTTTCCAACACACTAGTCAGACCAAGGGGGAAAAAAATCCCCATGACTTCAGTAATTTTCCATCCTCTGAAACAATGACACATATACAGAAGATTTACCATAAATATAAACATTGCTTTCAAATGACACCAATCTCTCTTTTAATATGCCTTAAACAAATCTAAAATCTAAGGCTTAACAGATTCCTTTCTTGTATCTGGAATAGACACATGAACCTAAATAGATACACAAAACATACATGCAACAACAGTCAACTAGTTAGATTGGGTTATCACATCAATATCGATTTTCCTCACAACCTGCACCCAATCTGACTGCAATCCTAGGCATGCTGACCTGAAATAGTTGCTGGCCGCGGCAAGCACCACGCGGTGGCAGGAGAATTCCTGAATGTCCACACACAAGATGACATCTGTCAGAGCATTCTCCACGCGGAGGGTGTCCAGGCCATTCTGCAGAATTAAGGAGAGTCCCGTGTCATCGAATTTTACCTTATCCCCATTTAAGATTTCTACCAGGTCTCCTCTTTTCTGGGAGGCCTCATCCGTAGAAGGTGCCAGCGGCCCTTCCAAACTCTTCTCTACCACGTCGCCCATGGTCCAGGCGCCCCCCTGTCCTGCCATCAACATCCAGACTGAAGGAGCGCCCAAGTTTCAGGCAGGTCACATTGCAGAAGTTGAGCGGATTTCCTGTGCAGAGCCCTCCACTTATCACCAGCTGTCACACGCACAACAGGAAGTCTCGTACTTTCTCATCCTGTTACTACAAACGCCAGTAACTTCTATTCTTCTTCTTTTTGTGAGTCAACAAAAGGTTGGAAATTACTTAGAAGAGGTGTGTATAAAGGGGCTCCAGAGGAGAAGGGGTGGCTTCCCAGAGTCTGCTATTAGTGCTGTGAGGCTATTTTGGTCCATCTCCCCCTCATATCCGTGAGCAGGAAGCTTCTGATTCTGGTTATTACATTCATACCTCTGGTGCTTTTATAATGCAAGTTGTCAATGATAGGATGTGCAGGGAACATTCTACATTCTTCCCCCTCCCTCTTCTCAGGAGTGTGGGACCCCATGATAAGCCCCCACGCAGTCCCTTGGGAACTTTGGAAAACCCACTTATCGCTGGCATTCTTGTTTATATCAGCATTGCACATGTTCTGTCTTTGTCTTCCTCCCTGCTCAGGGGAAAATAATGTCATTGCAAATATTAATGTTCCCCCCTACCAAGAAAGTCTATTGTTTCAGATATGTCTGTGTGGACAGAGAACAAATGATCTCCAGAAACTCCATCCCCAGGGTCTTCTCTCTTAGAAGACTAATCAGAGTAGGTCAACACCAAATTACCCTAGCAAGTCTCAAATTGGCCTAATCTCACTCAGCATCTATTGGCCATGCATCTAGTGGTACACCATGAAGCATCTTCATTACCTCTGCAGGTCTCTATTAAGTGATAATAATCATCTTTTAATAAACTCCCACTATATTATAGACTAGAGAAGTTAATTCACTCTAATGTATTCTAACCTTTATAAGAACCCAGTGGGGCAGATATGATTGTCCTCATTTTACAGAGAAGGAAAGTGAAGTTCTGCCCAAGTGAGTGGCAGGACCCAGATCTGTTTGGCTTCCAAGCCCCTGTTTCCTCCACCACCATCAGGCTACCCAGAGCTGTAATATCATGTTGGTCCTGACCCCCACATCTCCCACAGAAGGAATGGTAGGGCTTGCTTGCCATGGTTGCACCAGTCCACAATACCTAACCAAAGTGGCCTCTGCTGTCTGGCTCCTGCTTTCATGTACAGACAACACTAGTGTGTTGGTCTGACTGCACTTTCTAGCAGTGGGGAACACTGGCTGTCCTCGTGATCAACAGGGAGTCCCAATCCATTCTCTGCCCTGGTCAGTGGTGACTGAGCCTCCTCCACAGGTCCCAGTTCTGCCTCAGCTCTTCCTCTCTTCCATAGATACTTATTCCTAAGGTCAGGGTCTTTCATATCTCCCCTCCCACCAGACTTGTGCTTTATCCAGAGCTCTGTCAATCAAGATGCTTTGGCTTCAACAACAGAATAGTCCATCAAAAGTGGTTTAAACAGGGGTGCCTGGGTGGCTCAGTTGGTTAAGGGTCAACTTCAACTCAGGTCATGATCTCACAGTTCGTGAGTTCGAGCCCCACATCAGGCCCTCTGCTGTCAGCGCAGAGCCCACTTCGGACCCTTCATCTCCCTCTCTCTCTGTACCTCCCCTGCTCTTTGTCTCTCTCTCTCTCAAAAATAAATAAGCATTAGAAGAAAATTTTAAGTGGTTTAAACAACAGAAGTCTCACACTATAAGAAGGCAAATGTATGCAGTCTCAGGTTAATCCAGAAGCTCAGTGATGTCATCAATGACACAGAATTTTTCCATTTTCCCACTCTGTTACATTCTCAGTGTGACGGAGATGTCCCCTTATGATCACATAATAGCTGCCACAATACTAACCAGTCCAAAAGCAGGAAGAAGGGAAGTCCTCTTCTCCTTCATCTCTTTCTTTTTACCACAAAGAAAATATTTCCTAAAATCCCCATTAGGCTTCTCCTGGGTCACTAGACTACCAGAGATCAAACTCTAGGAAATACAAATGGAATAACATGATTGGCTTGCACCAAACATGATTCATCTGCTGGCTCCAGTCCACTTTCCCCAAGATCAAGGAGTAGATACCTGATAGCCAAACAAAATCAGGGTCTGTTAGCACAGAGGAGAGGGAAGGGCTGGTACATAGTTGACCTCCTGTGCCCATCACAGGGACGAACACACCTTGACTCTTCCTGCAGGCCTCAACTAGGAGGAACTCAGCACTTTCACCCAAATGACTCCAACCACCACCTCTGGTAGAGCTGAGGACAACACATGACCCAATCTCTCTCATGGCATCTTGTCCCCCAGAACCTCTCAAAGTATGAACAACACTGGCCATATTCAGCTCCACTCCAACTCCCCCTCAAATAAAACAAAATAAGAATAAAATTCAATTCTCCATTCATGATGGATCCTGTTCACCAAGCTCCCTTATTATTTTTCACATACCTTCCAAGTCCACCCACCCCATTCCCTTGACATAAGCAGATAACTGTTACCTTTTCCCCAACCCCACATTTTCCTAGTAGGGATGTATTCACAGACTTGTACTGTAGGTGTGGTAATACCTACAATTAGATTTAGTGCAAACGTAAAAAACACAACCAGTTTGGCATCCATGTCAACCTGGATATGCTCTGAGATTTAGCATTAACCGACAAATATTCTTTATAGATATTCTTTATAGCCACAAAATGTACAAGCCACTGGCAAAAGCTTTAATACTGGGAAAACAATCTAATTATATCTTATTAGGCTAGTTAGTTGGCTTTATAATGCTTATAAGGAATAGATTCTGTCTCCATACAAATGGGTAGCTTCACTCAATGGAAATCTCTATTCCTAAAACCACAGATTGCCCCTTCTGACCCCAGTCAACTTTCTTCTCTAACACAACTTATCGTGATAGAAACAAGTGTTAAGTCAGCTACAAAGGAAAAGCCACTGTTCTGTCATGTTAACTTAATGCTACTAAAGCTCTCATTTATAGAGTATCGACTATGCTTCAAGAACTATGAGAGGCATTTTATGAACTCTGTTGTGCTTAATCTTCCCACCAATCCAGTGTAGTTAAGTTTTATGAACTCCATTTTGGAGACATGGAGACAGGTAAGATCACATAATTAGTATCTTGTCCATAGCCCCTCAGTACATCCTGGAGGTCACCCACAGAAAGTTCCCAGAAGCACACCAATAGCATCACTCTGCCTGAGAGAGTTTTCCAGCTACAAGAGCATGTGGGCTCACCAGAGGTGCCCCCCAGACTGACCTGCAACTGAAAGCCAGAAGTTGGTAGATAAAAACACTAGCTTCCTTGTCTCTTCATGGGACACTACTGAGTGCATTCTACCCTGTCTATCATAAGACTCTCAGAGCACTGAGCTCTAGTTGCTCATAGTAGTAACCCATTCATCCTCTCACTTCCCCACCCTATCACTGTGCTTCTCAAATAAACTACCCGTAGCTGGTCCTTGTCTAATATCTACTTTGTGGTGAAGACAAATTAAGACACATAGCTACTGAATGACAGAACTGAGATTTGAACTCAGGTCTGCCTGATTCTAAAGCCCAACGTTTTCACCTTCCACTGTTCCCCAATGACCCAGTAGAATCATAATCTCCAACAGAGGCTTTCCCAGAAACACTTCAGTGTAACTGTGACTTTGATCAAAGTTAGAGGACCCCACCTTCCAGTCCCCTGACCTGAGAGTCTCTCTCCACCAACCCCACCAATGTCCAGTCAGCTCTATCTTCTGCTGTCTGCTGCTGCACTTCAATCAACGCTCAAGCACCTAACTCATCACTGACAGAAGGACTTCACAAAGTCAGCTGAGACCGTGTTTACCTTTTTAGGAAATAGTCACAACTGCAATGGCACCAAAGCATCACAAGCTACGCCTGCAGTGCTCTGGGCCTCTGCCTGCCATATTTTCAGGGCCACACTTCCTTGAACATCACCACTGCCAACAACACTGCTTCTGCTGCTGTATCCCAGAGAAGGGGAAGACCCCTTTTTTCTTTTTCTGAGCAAAGAGCACTGGTATACCGGGCTGAAGGAAGATTCAATAAAGAACATGCCTCAGAAGTTAGAGATGGTGTATTGCCCCTGGGAGCTTTAGGGACTTATTTCCTCCTGAAGCCATTTGCTTATCACTTCTCGGGCCTTTTGGCTAAGATCAAGTGTAGTATCTGAAGCCACTCACTTATATATATTCCAACGTAGAAAAGGAAAAGTAGAGACTGCTCGCCCCCTCCCCAGAGAGGATTTGTTTACATTCCAGAATAAAGGTTTCTCTCTCAGGAGGAGGAGGAGGAGAAAATGGCCTCACATGCCTGTGCTATCCATATAAGCTGAGTCTTCCAGTTTCAGTGCTTATCTCCTGTGGTACAACCCCACTGCACATTACTAAAGAGATAGGGATGCAGGGAATTGGTAAGAAGATGATCTGTGAGTAATAAATGATCTTTTCTCTGATTCAGAGACCTCGTATTTCCTGTCAGAAGAAAAAACTGAAATATATACACACATACACATTTAACATGAGTTCATTTTCACTTGATTTCTCCAGGATGAGCAGCAGAGTGAACAAAGAAATATTTGCTTCAGGGTCTAAATGCTACCAAGGGAGACCTGGACTTCATACTTTCCTTGCTGCCTGCAAAATGCCTATTTATCCTTCAAGATAAATGTCTCTCTTGTCTTCCTAAAGCTTCCCCAACATACCTACATTTATTGCAAGTCTTGCGTGTGTGTTCATGCTTCTGCAGATGCACTAAAGCACTGTATTGTCATTAGTCTGGCTCACGGTCTGTCTCCCCCAGTAAGCTGTGAGCACACAAGTCAAGTCATTCTACATCCCAGAGTCTGGCACAAGCCCAGTTACATATGATTCAGTCAAGTAATATGAGGCGGATAGACAGATTTCATGGTTGGATGAAAGAATAATCAAAAACTGGAACAAGAGCTCTGCCTTGGTAGCCAGTGGCTCTCTTAAGAGGAGTTCCTGCATGGCTGAGGT